AAGTTTTTCATTGTTTAAATCTATACACTACTTTCCTTTTGTACCCTCATTAATTATCCAATTCACCCATTTTTCTCTCACTAGAGTATTAAATGGTGCTGTTTTATTAGGCCAAAAGCAATGCAAACTAACTGCCACCAATTATGAAAAGAGAGATAAAAGGGTAAAATTGTGAAAAAATAATTAATGTTGCATGGGGATAATAAAACGACAGATAAAAGTACTTAAGAGCAAATTTCTTAAACGTCAATTATAAAAAAAGGGAGGGAGTATGTGTCAAGGATGAGGGATTCAGCCATTCAGGGATTGCTTTTCGAAAGTTGGTGCAAGTTCAAATGTTAAAAAGAAGGCCAAAAGACCTTGGTGGTTACTAAATTATTAATCGAATTAAGTTTTGATTATCAAATAATTTTTCATCACAAATTGACCATTAAACTAACTAATCAATACACCCGTGATTATAGGTGGCAAACAACCCATTTAACTAAATTTATCCATACCCACCCATGAATAGATGTGTATGAGTATCTTAAATTTTTGTATGTGGGTATAAATGCATTACCCAATAATACCGATTTATTAAATGGGTATTATTGGGTAATCCATCAAACCCAATTAACTCATTTAGAATTTTTTTCCTCCAAGTCTTTTCTCTTCCCCCACCCAATTTTTTTTTCAAATTTTTTATTTTGTCATAATGCTAACTACTTTTGTTTCATTATTATTATTATTTGTTGGTTTTATTTTATTATTTTATTTTCTCTTAGTTTGTTAACTTGCTCATTTTTAGCATTACGAACTTATGATAAGTTTTAGCCTCTTTTCTTATCTTTCTAAAATGAAATTTTAAATTTATATATGAAAAAAATGTTAGAGGTTCAAAATTTTTGGATTAAGTTTTTACATTAACTTTTATAGTACTTAGTTCAAATTTTTATATTCTTATTATTCAATTATTAAATAATATGTAATTTTGCGACATAGAGTATAAATGGAAAAAAAAATTGGTAATTAGGCTTATTGAGCATTATAAGTAAATATTTAAAACTAATGATGGGTACAAAGAGTGGTATAAATTGATAACTTAGTTTGCAAAAATGAATTTAAATGAGTTTACAAAAAGTTAAAATAAATGGGTTATAAATGGATAATTGGGTTACCCAATTCATTTTTTGACTTATCCATTTATACCCATCTAATTAAATGGGAAAAAATGGGTTGACTCACTTGTACCCATTACCCATTTTATCCAACTCAAATCACCTATTTCGATACCTCTACCCGTGATCATTGCATCGATTAATGCTCACGGGTTTATTGATTAGAAAAATGGCAAATAAGGAGGCAGGTGTTTAGACACTACAAACACCAACTTTTATATAAATTAATTTAGCCAAATTCACGAGTAGCACAAGAGAGGATGTAATTCATTACTGTGATTCAGATATTGATAACATTCTATTCTTGCACCTTCAAAATACAAAACCTTCTATTTTTGAATACATTGGTGGCTGGTGCAACAATTGGTGGCTCTTGCAAGTGTAATAACGTTCATTATAGATTATCATTTCATACTTTTCCTGGAAAGAGCAAGTGCCCCCACACCATAATAACGTGCCTCATATGAGTCATTGCATACGAGCAAAGCAAATTGGTAACCTCATAAAAAAAAATCCTATAAATACTTGGCTTCTGTCCATCATAATTGAGTGTCAGAAAATCAAAGCCCTCGTGCAAAATTCAGTAACTGAACCCATTTTCTTCTTCTAACTAGGAGGTTTGATTAGAGAAAATTTGTGAAGGGAAGGATGGCAAATAAGGAGGCAGGTGTGAGGATGGAAGTAGGGGATGGTGGCATTGCACTCATCACCATCCGTAACCCACCTGTTAATGCACTTTCACTCTCAGGTACATCATGTATCTTTTCCTTTAGTATATACTACTGCTACCTCTAACCTCAGGTTGCATGGCTAAACACGGCTCTGCAAATTTGATAACAATATTAAAAGCATGGAAAATGTGCTTATTTTTTGTTGTGAGTCGAGATCAAAAAGAGAAAAGCACGATTATTTCTAACTAGCTTTTATTTTTTTAATTAAATCCGTGACCTTAAATCCTAAAACTTCAACTTTAACCATCAGACCAAATTTTCCTCGCCAGTGTTTCTAATCAATTGTATGTTAAATCAGTTAAAAGATTTAGACAAGTCGATCTTAATTTATCCTCAATGTGAAATGAAAGCTAATGAAAGCATCTTTAGGGAATAGAGTCGGAAGATGGCAGCGTTGGGAAGTAGTTAGTAAGTTTTTGCATGCATGCCCTCAATAACGTTTGATCTTTTACGCCACCTTCTCAATGTTTTCTCCTGCCTACTGCACAGTCAGGATATCCTTTTCTTTTATATACCAGAGTAAAAAGACGGGTAAAGTTTGAAATGTTTTTGTAAATTGTGACAACATCTAAAAGAATTTTATTTAACTTGTGAAATTAATTTGAAATAACAAAATGTTATTAGTTCAGAAGTAAACTTGTTACTAATGAAATAGAGTATTATCCTTTCATGATGTAGCTAATTAACAATGTTATTTATGATGGAATTGCAGTAATCCTGCATAGCTTGTTTGAGCAAATTTGAAAAACCAAGATCTGTGAATTGGCAGCCATTAAAAGTTGTCGTGGTTGAGAATACGAGATATGAGAGAGTGAAAAAATCAACGAAAGATAACATTTGACATGGAGGCAGTGGTTATTAGTAGTTGATATGGCTTTGTAAGTGTTGGGGTTAAGTTGTAGTCTAATTTTCACTTAGTACATTTAAAAACTGTCAAGGGTTAGCCATTACAGCCTTTTTTGGGGTAAAGGGGCAGTGTAAAATTTTGGTTAAGAAGCAGAAACATGTACAGCAATACCTCATTCTGGCGTTTCAGCGGAATCATGTTGGCATTGGACAATTAGAGCATGCAGTAACCTCACTTGATACAATCCTACAAATGCATGCATGCACAGAATATTGTTTAGTAACATTTCTTGTTTGCTTTCATTCCAGGGAGCATCATCCACTTGACTGGAATTGAATGAATGAACTTTCTTTTCTGGTACAATACATTTGGGGCAAATAAGTCGCTTTGGGACGAAGACTTGCCATGGAATATAGAAGGCTACAATCATTTTCTGGAATTCCTATGTAGACATGCAAATTATCGTCTTTCTGTTATATATTTGGGATCAAAAACATCATATCAACTGCTATATGCAGTCAAGTTGAAAGATTTGAATTTTATTTTCATTTTAAGGTCCTTATCTATTACTATGTAATATAATCGTGGTTCTTTTCTTTTTTATGATACTTAATATACCCTCACTTTCTATTGAGTTTCATGATACACCCTTACCTCAATGTGGCATTAAACAGTCCCAAATCTCCTACACATGATAGATTCCTAACATGAAATTTTTTTTCCCTTCATCCGAGAAGAGGCATCTCTTAGAATCCTACAAGATCAAGATTTCATTGTCCAATTACTTCGGAATGATGATCTTAAGAGCAACAAGAAGAAGAAGAATAACCCCACAGGTTTTTTCCTTTACTTTTAGGTTTTACTTTTAGAGCAGCCCACATAAGTTTTTTGTGTACACAGCTTGGGTTGTTATCATGTATGTCAATTATGGTTTCATGTTGTCTCCTGGGTGGCTTAGTAAAATATTTTTCTTAGTAACAGAGGTTTCTCATGACCTTACAGCTTTTAGGACATAAAATTGAAGATAACTCCAATGGTAATTAAAGATTGCAGTGATCCTTATGTTGCAAAATTGTGTCAAGGATTATTATTTAACCATGCCCAAGTTCGAGTGTTATGTCCATACTTTTCGATAAGCAAAGTTGTGACATTATCCTACTTGACACACTCAATAGATTTTTCTATCTTTTATAACAAGCTAGCAATGCAAGGCAAGCGAGCAACTCGACTTGTACTTGAACTTGTGAGCAGCTCGCTCAACCATTCAATTCAAACTCGATATTGACCAAATTCAAATTGAGTTTGAACTATTTGATGAATAATTTGAGTGGAGTTTGAGTGTGAGCAAGTGATACTTGTATGCTTGATGAGTCTTATCAATCCTTATTAAGTATTGATATAAATATATAAATATATATATATGTATAATTTTTATAGGATTTATTAATGTGAAATATCGATAATATCTCTTTTTTAAAATTATATGAAATATTAATTTATAGTGTTTAAACTTGATTGAGCTTGAGTAAGATACACGATGTCCAACTTGAGTTCGAACTCAATTTTAAAAGCTTGCTAAGCTCGAATTTAGATATTTTAACTTGCATCGAATTCTAACAGTCTACCCTATTATACTGGGTTTTCTTCCATGACAACCCAATTGCCAAATGGGTATCAGTATGCTAACAGCTAACTCCATAAGATCACTGAGACTGCAACATCTGCAAGAAAATAGACAATGCTTTACCTTGCAACAGTGGGCTCATCAGTGTCCAACATGACTTTAAGCTATCGTCCATGCTTTCGCACGATGTTCTAATTCTCAGCTGGCTTTGTTGCAAAATTTGTCACATAATTATTGTTTTACCTTCCATTCAGGGAGAGTCAAGTTGAGCTTGAGCAACCAAATTTCTTCTTTTCCGTAACACCTTAGGTCAATAAGTTGCAGCCAGTGTAGAAGTTGCAATGGGAGATAAAGCTAACAGTGTTCTATGAATCGTCTGTAATGTGACAGATATTTAGTTCCTTTCCTTCACAGCATATATGGTTGGAAGAAATGAAGATTATTTTCATTTTCGTCCAACTTAAGGTGCTCTTGTCTAGAAGTTTTCCGGGACAACCATTTTACTGCCTCAAGATGTTGAAGAAAGCCATCATAACTAACTTTGCAGAATAGCCCTTTTATGGCTGGATTTCCGTAACTCTCTTCTATTGTTTATGAATCTTCGACATCAATTTGGTTAGGTTGCAAATCACCTCTTCAGGGGGAGAAAAAAAGAAACTAAAATTGGATTTGGGCAACAGAGAAGCGAAGAATCATATACATCACAGCATGACGCTATAATTGTTTCTCACATTATATTGCATTTTCAAGGCCATAACATAACTTTAAACTCCAGTTACTATTTCAGAGATTACATGCTATTATGTCATGAAGAACCTGCCAAACCAATCACTTGCTTCTTTTACCATCAAGGGCGTCATCTGGTGAGGGATTCCTGGTTCTGCTATAAGCTGGCAGAGAGGAGAATAAATCATGTCAGAAATGGAAGGAAGTGGCTAAAAATTAATTGGGAAGAATTACTGAACAAGGTGAAGAAGAAAGCATCGCAGAATTCTAAAGAAAGAGTGGCTCAACACAATTTCTTTGATCAATAATACATCAACTACAAAACTATTAACAGTAAATTGATTGTAACGGGAGTTGTTCCAACTTTGACATCAGAAGCGTATCAGAAAACCACATTTCTCTTATGTGCTGGAACATGCAAAGATAAAAAATTATGAACTTGTAAAAGAAAAAGCAAGGGGTGACTGGGGAAGACAGATTCCTACCTTGAAAGAATCCAATGCACTAGCCTTTATATAAGCCTCTTGTGCTCTTGATTTTGGAATTTCGAGGCCAGGCAAAGGGCACCGCGGGTCTTCAGCACCTGCACATTCAAAAATTTTGTAGCCCAAACAACTCAACTTCTACAGATAAAATAGAAGTACAACTATTAGAATAAGAACATGCAGCACAGCGTGAATACCATTTAAGATCAGCAGCGGACGTGGTGCAATAGCTGGAATTGTGTGAGGTGAATCAAACTTGGAGGCTAGATCTGGAGCTATTCTATCCCAGACCTGGTCAGGAAGTATACAATATATGAAACAGCCTATGGCATCTCACAACATGGTATCAAATAAATGATATTTGAGTTTGGTTTTTTAAATCCAATATGAATGACACCAATTGAAGAAAGACAAAGAAAGAAAAGTAAGGAATTATAGTGATGCTAGTTTTTTGTTTAGAAGCTGGCATCACATAAAGAAAACAAAAAAGTCTTGACAAAATTGAGCAAACGTGAAATCAGCACTGGTACTTACCTTTTGTACCACTTCTTTATCGATTGCAGTCTTGCCTAAATCAATCCTTGCCTCTGGAAAATAGATATGAAGAGCAATGTCAGAATGCTTGCAGTCAAGTCACAAGACCTGGATATAAAGAAAGAATAATCCTATGACAGCTGGAAAAGACATTTATCATAATTCTGCAGAAAATATTCTTTGTGCCACTCACTTTCGAATACTGCCTTGATACTATCAACTCGAGCTTGCCACTTGTCATGCTCTATAGCCCATTTGAAGGCCTACAACCATAGTTGCTCAAATATTCTCAGATTATGAATGATATTCTCAACAAAGTGTTAAGAAATCTAATAGAAACATACATCACTTGAAGGTTATAAATGGAGCTTACTTGAACACCAATTATAGGTACAACCACAGCATAGCGAGTATCTGCAGCACCAGCAAACCATGCATGCATTCCTGCATATTACACCTTGTAAGTCCTCCACGTTGGTGGAACAGTTAGATTCACCTTTTGCTCTTAAATTTAGTTAACTGACCTCCAAGTGATTCACCAGTGATCCCTAGCCTGAGTGGGTCTATATCTTCCCTTTGTGTGAGATAATCTGCAAGTTTTATCAAGTCCCACACCTGGAATGTTCAACTGTTAAAGGTACTCTCGCTTGAATTAAATTTCCAATCATGACATGAGCGCCAAATCATTCCTAAGAAACAAAAGGACTATAATAACATTTCTGGATTACGGATGCACAAACTAGATTGGGAATTGATTTCCAAACAACAGGAGCAATACCGTATCAAATATGAATGGCATCGTATCACCTTTTTCCCATGATGACACGAGGGCCTGCATTGTAAGAAGAAAAAGGATAATGCAATTACTTTAAAATAAACAAACTGACATCCAATCAATGATGGGACAGAGCAAATGTTAATAGACAAGTAATTCAACCCTGCTGGGTTGCCACAATTGCAAGACTTCTCCTGCGGCTTTTAAAATTTCAAAAAATTCTATTTATCATTTTCAAATTAATTAGACCTATTTTTCTACGATAATTTAAGTTCAAATGGCCTTCCTTAACTACAGTGCTTATTAAAATTCTTTTGGAATTTCAAGCATATTACATGTTGACATGAAAACCTAAAACGAGGTCATTGTGGTAAACAAAAACCATTGGAGGGAAGCCTCTCAAATCATGATGAGAGATAAGTCTGATTTACCCACGATTTACCCACTATAGATCCATGTCCAACAAGGCATAAAAAATGGCACACATTCAAGAAAGTCAAACTGTAAGGGGGATTAGATAGCTCTCCACTCCATGGGATTCTTCAGAGCATGGTCTTGCCTAAAGACGGTAAATTGTTAACCACCATTGTATGACTCATTGGACAGAGAAAGCTCCACAATATCCATTATAGCTGTGAAGCAAGCTGCAATTCAAGGATATCAAACTGAAAGAGGAAGAACAGCTCTCCTCTTAACATGACTCTTCAGCATAATTGTCTTGCCTGAGAATCAACACCATCATTCTTGACATCATATGTCGGTGGTTTTCCGAAGGACACTTAACTTTTTATGTCAACCTGGTCATAAGAGAGTTTGTCCATATTCTTTGTGTTCCTTCCTCAAGTCTGGTAAAATAGGTTTTCTTATATCGGTTTGGTATACCATTTTGATGTGTCAAACATTATAATTTGTATAAGAACCTAATAACGGAAAAAACAGGTAAAGAACAAGCACTGGTACATACATCTCGATACGTTGTCAAGCTTCTAGCACGCTCTCCATGATAACGAGAATCAATAGCAACTGCTATATATCCCCTTGAAGCATACGCCTGTGGTGAAACACAGCATGCTTAAAGCAGATTTTTGGTTCCCAAACTCGATGTTCACAATGTTTAAGGATATGAGAAGGAAAATTACGGTTCTCTACCAACCTCAAGCAACGGTCGTAACCACTCTTTGCATTTATTCGTACTGTGCAGAAAAACAATAGCTGGCCTCTTCTGCGGAGTGCTACCTTTCAAGCTCAGTATCAGCACAGGCAAGCGTCCTTGCTCTCCAGCCTAGTAATGATTATGAGACAAACAATCAGCTCATAGCCAAAATAGTCAAAATTGATGGAGTAAAGAACTAAAATAGTAACATTAAATTTGTACGACTGCTTCATCCAAAAACAGTGGTATAGAAGAAGTTGAAATAAGATTGTAAATGGACCAATGAATTCCCCAAAGAGAAAGGTTAATAACATATCTTTGGCCACATTCAAGAGAAAAGAAAACATTATGCTGGACCACGTTTGAGCAGAATATTGATTGCTGTGACTTTATACCCTTTAGTAATTCAAGATCTTCCTCTGACAATTAGAAACTTGGGACATTTCTTATTTTTAAATCATTCTACCAAAATGTTTATGCTTTGATGTCTTTAATCTAAAGAAACTCATGCAATTCCATGGATCAACCCCTTGAAACATCCAGTTCACCTTTTCTCTCTTTAAGTAACTGTCCAAAAGAATGGAAAATAGTCAATGTGTTCTCATTATGAGGGTTGCACTGATAGTTCCCAAGAACTTTCCGCAGAAATGTCCTATAGTTCTTTAAATCCAGTAGCAATCCATGAAAATGATGAGCTAAACATACTGAGTAAATGTCGAAAACTACAAGACAGAGCACAACAGAAGAGTGATAAATCTCACTTCAAATTGCATTAGCCTCTTAATAAGATAACTGCATGTAAATATAAGACTGGTTAGAAATCATGTCAAAATTTTGTCCTTAGTTTTTGTATTTATGTCCCATCCCCTTCAGCCCATTTGAATAAATTATCGAGAAAAAGAATCAGTCCACTATAATCACAAAAAGGTCAAAGTAAAGACAAGGAATTCGAATAAATTACCTCAGTAGTCAAGTAAAAGTTCTCCTCTTTGAGCAATTCTTTAAAGTTGGGAATATCTTTCTTTGGACAGGATTCCATGGCCTGCAGAATACCAAGTACTAATCTCAAAATTCAAGAATTTTTCTTTTTGACTTAAAAACAATAGATTAAAAAATGAATCCAGGGGAGAAAAGGAGGGTGGTTGGGGGAAGGTTTCGTACCGGACTGAAGGTTGGCTTTGGAGTCTCCTGATACAAAGGGTCCTCCACTGGCTTCCCAGGTTCCACAGTCAGATGGACTGATTCACCCCACAAATCAAGTAAATGAACAAAATGGAAAACCAAATTTCAAGAAATCGATCATAAGTCTAAGTGAACCACCATAGAAGCCATAAAGAAGAAAAAAGAATAGAATCCCAGATCAAGAATTCAATAGATAAATTCATATGTCATACAACAAACAGTGAGCACAGCAGACAGACCTTCTGGGGTTCTTCTGCTGCGAAGGACTTCAAGCAATTCAAGACGAAGCTTCTCAGAATCCATGGTTTCAACCCTTTCTTCTTGGTGAATCGTAGTGCTAGCTGAGTTGGTGATGTTCGGTTGTAACTTGAAGAACTTGAAGGAGGTGGTTTGACTTTTATAGCTGCTGCTTCCGCTGCTGACAAGTGATGATTGGGACAACGTCGGAGAGTTGATGAAATGGCGGGCAGGTAACGTGTGACTGTAAGCATGCACGTGGGACAGGGTGCGGGCCTGTGCTAATCTCTGCATTTTTGGAGCAATGTTTGGAACAATGTTCATATTTATCTGCTGCTACTGACATTATTTCAAGGAGGAAATGGGGCATGAGTTTTGTGACGAGTCTCGGTGGTTTTTCAGGTACTGGCATTATTCGTGGTCTTTTGTGTGGATTACAGGTGTGAGAAAACGGGTGAAGGTCTATCATATTTTATATCTTCTCAATGCTTGATAAAACCATCCAAGAGTCAATTTTGTAGAGCTTTTTTTTTTTTAACTTTAAGAAATCAATATGAGGTTTTTAATTAGAGAATAGAAAAAAATTTGCCTCTCTTTCTATCGGAAAAAAAAAATAGAGAACAAAAAAGGGTCGAAAATGTGAATTTTGACTCTACATTTACTCTGTTGCATGCTTTTCAAATTGTAATGAGCATATTTAAGTACAGAAAACTTATTTTCATCATTCTTTCCTTCTCTCTTTTTTAATTATTCAAAATAAAGTGTTTAATATAACAGCATTAATTATTTAATTGGATTTCAAGTCAACCCTGGTGATAATTTGATAAAACTAATTTAGGATAAACAAATGCCTTTCACCCTATTGCGTATCTTGATTTTAAGAATTATATCAAGTGAGTGAATGAATTAGCAATTGGCCCTATAGTTTCCATTCACCTTTATTTTTGTTGTTAACTCAAAAGACACAGTTACAGAATATTTTCTGGCTATTTCCACAAACTACAGCCAAGGAAGGAAGGTGGTAGGAACCTCCAATCAGACAAGTAATGGGAGAGTAGCACAGCAAGCTAGTACAGAAAAGTATACATAAGAGAGGAATTTCCGCAGCTACCTGCAGCCAGGGGACAAATAACCATTTCCTCATACGTCTTTGAAGTAGAAGAAAGAATATGAGTGAGCCCCTTTGGATTTGCTAATTCTATAATTTTTGTAGAAAAATGTAGCGTTACAGTTCGATATATGTGAGATAAAAAATGATTGAAAAATGTATTCATAAAAAACGTAGAAATTTTTGGATGAACAATGACGATCCAAATAAGGCCACTAGTTTATGATAAAGCGACATCTCTGCTACATAAGCATGCTAGTTTAACAGCTCACTCTTCTTCAAAGCCCTGAATTGCATTATATACTGCAATACAGCAAAAATTGCACCCCGGACTCTCAATTGGTGGTAGAGGGGAGTACAGTGCCTGCTATCAACAATTACCTGATTAATAACTATTCTAACTATCGAACCATAGATAATCTCATTGCAACAAAACCATTTCAGCCATGAAATGTGGAGTAAAGATAGACGTGCAAATATAATGTCAAAAGTCATTTTTGACAACTCAATCCTACTTCCAGGCAGGGAGCTTTCACTTGCTCAAGGAATATACCTCTTTGCACCAAGCCACTGAAGGAAGTTTCCAAAGCAAACAATCGTTAGCCATTCTAAACCAGTTTGTCATCACCTATTGTCAGCATCAAACTGATTTTCTTGTTTGAATTGTGGGATTTGAATTGCAATTTTGCACTACTCCCAGCTGGCTTTCCAATCCATTTCTCGACAACGACAAATGTGAAGTTTCTGCAAGTAGGAAGATGATTCTCTTTCATCAGATCAGCAGAAGATCATGTTATAGAAGGCATATCCTTGCGCAGAAGAACTAGAGATAACAACAAGATCTGTTTCAAAACAGTTTATCATGCAGTCACCAAGTATCCCTGCTTTACGACTTAGAACCAGCTTCAAGGCCTTGTTGAGATTAAAGAACAAAATATTGTACAAAGCTCTAAATATATGGTCTTGGGAAAAATCACTGCCAAAGTCAAATTTGAAAACCAGAAAAAGGATGCAACAAATACAGATCTTTAGCCATTGTTATGACAGTATGCATGCAAAGAAAACAAGGTTTGAATCACAACCAAATACGCCCCCACACACCCCCCCCCCCCCAAAACAAAAAAAACCACAAAAGTAACATGCATTTTCGGAAATCTGCCAAAAAAAAAAAGACAGGGGATACAATACTAATTCAGTGTAATCTACATAATCAGATGCCTACTTGGGAAAAAGGATTGCTTATTACAGCGCCTAAATGATCACTTCTTGGCAACAAAAAACAAAATGAAAAAGTAAATGTCATAGAAAATGTTGACCATATTAAACGGTCCTTGAATATTAGAAAACATATTTCCTGAAAACCACCCAAGGGTTGTGAGATCTGAAAAGGTGCCAGGTCAAATTTCTGTTCGCCGAAATCATGACAATTTTATAAACTAGGACATGGTCTCAAATTTACATGTTTTCAACAGAACAATTATGCAATCAGATTACTGATGAATAAAACTTACCTCTTATGATAGTGCATGTTATAAGTTTGTTAAGGAAACCACAAAAATTTTTCAGGACGAGCCTTTCTTGTTCTGCATCTATCTCCTTAAATACTTCTCTGTTCGGAGACTTAATTGTTGTATTTCTTTTCGGGTTGGAAGCTCCGCTTGGAGAGTCAGCTCCTTCGGTTGCAACATCTCTATCATTAGACATTAATGGAAGTGTCTCAGGAGAGGCTGAGCTTCCAGTTTCTCGATCACCTTCACCTGATTGGCATCCATAAGCCAGATTCCCCTCTACTTGACTGGTGTTGAAGCTCTCATTACGATATTGAGCATGAACATCTTTACTTCCTTGAATTGCTGAAGAAATGGAAGTTTCAACCTCTTCTATGTCACCTTTATTCATCACATGTTTCTTTCCTGAAAAAGACAATTAAGAATTTATGAAAGCATTTATTAGTTGAGATGAAAGAATATTACAAACAAAATCAGATAATTAGGTATTTAATCAAACAAGAAACCAATTCAAATGCAATGTTTCTGCTTCTAACATCCACATGTACAGAAGATGGGCAAAGCTCACCACACAGAGAAGTCGTAAAAGTTCTGAGTAAAAAAAATTGAATGTGCAATTAAAGCTAATAGCAATTGCAGAAAAATATCAATGAATCAAAATAGACCTAAAGATAGTGCACTGGATGCAAATCAGATAAATGAAGAACAAATATCAAGTACTCCACAAAAGAATGTGAAAAAGGATTTAACTTAAGGTGGACTTTGAGAGCAGCCAGTCTCCATAATATACACTCAGACAGAGCTCTTATCTGCAAATGAATCTGGTATTACAAAATTTTACTTGAGCACATCATGCACAAGCCAGAAAGCGCAAAGGTGCTAGGATGTGCACAAGTGCAGACATACAGAGAAACCATCCTTTTTAATCACAAGCCAGAAATAAGTCAATCACAATAAAGCAGAGCCCTTTATGAAGAAAAAGTACTCATAGCCTAGAAACGTTCTCACATTTATTTAGTTTTTAAGAAATTGAAAGCGACTCATGGTTCAAAACAAAAAAACAGACAAGCAAATTAATGTGTGTCTTGTATCCCTCCACCTCTAAATGTTTAAATAATAATTACCAAGAAGTCACAAATATAAGAATCTAAGAGAACCTATAAAAATTATTGTGTCAAGTTGTAGTATGACCTGAAATTTTTTTTGCGGCTTCAGCTGAAACTACAACCAGAAGAGAACATAGCTCCTTCAAATGTTTGGATTGGAGAATTTCTGCTAATAGAGGCCTTCAATAATAATGTACGATAGTGGTCAGGTTCCATAGTCATGCAAACATCTCTTTTGATGACAAGCATCAAAAGCTCAAAACTTGTCATCAGTTCTAAACAGAAATAAGTTTACAGACATATACCTGTGTGTGAATTTCATAGCAGTAGTAGGTTGAGCAGATGGAGCAGACAATGGGGAAAAAGAAGCTGTGGTGGGTGCTAAATCATTTTCCTGATAACAAAAGGTTTGAAATTATCAACATGTTAAGGTAATTTTGAAAATTAAGTTGCTAAAATAAGAGAGGTTTGTGGTAGCTCTAACAAGCACCTCCATGTAGGGGTCAAAAACTAGCATCAATTTGGTAACAATCAGTACAGAGTTACAGATTTATCAGGGCTAGATTCGCTTATTACATAGAAATCAATTTGGCACTTCCTCAAAAAATATCTCATAAACTTTCCATATTGACCTGTCTCACCTTCTGGTATAGACCAAGAAGGGTAACTTAACCATGAAACAATTTTCACCTGATTTTTTACACTATGAACGAACCAGTGTGCAGATGAAAACTATAGAATGGGATATCCCAGAAATTGCGCAAGAAATAACTTTATTTGAAAGACAATCTATGGGATTTGTGAGACTTTGTAAACTTTTTGAACTTAATACTCATTTTGAACAGCAACTAACTTTGTGAAGTCAAAGATCAAATTTTTAGTTTTTCTTTTCCTTCTTCAGCTGGAAATGCAAAACAATGGTAAATAAGCTCATAAACCAAACATGTTCACTATATTAGTAAAATGGAGTGCAGAGGAATTAATCAAACAAGCCAGTGCAAAAAAACACATGTGCCTTTGAGTTGTATAGCCATACAGATAACTGACTGCAAAAGGAGTTAAGCATGTCTAAAATGAAGCTACACGCAGAATTTAACGAGCAAAAAAATTCAAGTCCAGTGGTAACCAAAATGATATACATATGTCTGTCAACTTAAAATCCCATGATTCAAATACCTGTCTAATTTGTTCAATTCTGTCTTTTACTGCATCAACAGATGTTGCTCTGCATATGAGTTGCTCAGTTTTCCTCTTCTTTGTTGCAGGAAGAGTGTTAAAATAAGAAAATTTTGAAGTTCCACAAATGGCTGCATTTATTGCCTGATTGACAAATCTAAAATCATTTGTGGGACCTTCATGAAACATATAATCTCTCTCCTTACTCCCTTCAAAATTCTTGCAATCTATGCAATTGCAGTTTTCTGAGCACAGAACACTAGCCTGGAAACACTCGCAATATTTCTTGAGGCACCCAGATTTCTTGCAATTGCATCCTTTGTTGTGTTTACCCATGATTGTGACATCATATGCCTCTACCTGGTTGGTCTTAAAACATTTAAAATACAATTTATATGATATCATAGAAAGGATGTTTTGATCAACTGATATGCTATGTAAATAAATTTAACCAATTCAAGTACAAGGTCAAGGTTTATTCTTCTTTTACAGGCATCTCAGTAGAAGAATAATCTAATAAAGCATTCAAAGGTGCTAATATACC